TTCTTTTGCGAAAAACATTATTTCTGCATATCTTAAACAGCAAAGACCAGTTAAGAAACGAAATTTCAGAAGTTTTTTGAAATTTAGAGGAAATATTAAAACCAAAAATTGTAAATTGTTGTATATTAATACCCTTCATATCTGTCTTACTCTTTTCTCAGCCTTTTCCTCTCCCACCGCTCTCGCCCTCCTTTAGCTTATTCAAAAAGAGCTATAAAAGTGCTGATGTGATTAGCATAAAAATCAAATCATAAATAATTTTAGTGCTCGCTGAGCAAATAATGCATTTTTAATTTGCGTGAATGCAAAAAACGCGCGTAAAAAGCAATCAAATAATTAGGAAAAAAACCCATCTGAATACATTTTATGAGGGCAATAATCAAGTTCTGTGCGCCGGCGGCCGACCTTGCGTCAACTGCGCAACTAATGCTTTTTCATGTTGATTTTTTGGTTGCACTTAAAAACTGTGTAAATTTCAGTATCCAGTTTCGCGTCTGAAGCAAGATCGAGGGGGAAGGAGGAGGGGGACCGGGTAAAGCGGAGCAGAATAGTCCCTGTGTTCTACTCCATTTCATTAAAAAAATCGAGTATTCTCTCGCAAAAGTAATGATGCTTTAACCTTTTCCGCACTTTTCCTTTTCCTTGTTTTGGAAGCCGAATGCGACCACTGTCCATGCACATCACCGATTGCTCCGGGAGGTTTTTTTCATAACAATCTGAGGAAGTTTCACTTTTACGAAATGGTTTTTCACTCTCCAACAATGATTTGTTTCTCCTGGCTCTGGAATGGATAGCTACTAAGACAATCATGCATACAATCTCTTTTTTTCCTGGAATTTTCGAAGTAAACATCCTGTTTATTATTTCTCATTAATACACCTCATAATTCTGAGGAGTAGTATTTTTTCCCGATGGGGTATAATCGAGGAAAACATGACGAAAAAATTTTCGACGGCTTTTGTAAAAATCTCTCTGACAAATGTATTTTTTGTATTGTAAAAAACTTATTATATTTTAAAACATCTTAATATTGTAATATAAGATAGAAAATAGGAAAATTTTACTGTCTGTTTACAATAGAAATAAAATGCTGTACGCTTTTTGAGGGAAAATAACTCAAGAAGGAAAGAGGTAACGAGCCATTAAGCCATTGGGCTGCCCGAATTCAACATTCCTGACGTTTCTAGAAATTGATTTTCACCACAAAAACTGTAGATTTTGCATTTTGACTTTCTTTCTGAGGTAATTTTTATTTTTTTTTTCTTTTGAAACAGTTTTGAGGTCGCTGATTTTGCATTTTTCGACGGGAGAATCTCAATTGTTCTGGATCGCGTTGGTGACTGTGTTAGAGTCCACTAATCTTTCTCGCTCTAAGCTGCTTTTTCTGTGGAAGGATTATTTTTTTTAAAGCTTTTCATACTGACAACTAAGTTACACAAGAAAGGCAACATTTACAATGGCGCGCATGTTGATTTTTGAATTCTTTCAAACATTAACATTTTTGCTAATTGTTTTTCAAAACTTTTTAGAGTTCCGACGTTTTTCTGTCTTTCATGCGTCAATTAATTAAGAAATCTGTGTCTTTGAAATTACTGCTTTTCCAAAAATTTATCATTTTTTTTGAGTTGTGAAATTGAGCAAAAACATTAACTGTCTTCCTAATGATTTATCACTCGGAAATGATGTCCTATTTACCCATTATTTCTAATCCGTTTTACGAAATTTCCAGTTGTCATCATTCACACTTTCGGAAATTTCTCGTAACAAAATTAGGTTTTTTTAGGTGTAGCGGAAGCTAATTCGTACAAACTTATATACCGCTCCGTAGTGTAGATTTATACATTTCTGTAAGAACTAGCCAGTAAAATCCTGCATCAAATGTCTGACGCCGCAATATTCAAGTGATATCGCAAAGCTGCCCTCTACCAGTGGGATTACTAATTAAAACTTTTTTTCTGTCTTTGCTGAGAGCTGAAGCTGGACTGAATTTTTGGACGGGTCAAGTAAGTTAATAAAAATTTACCCACACTGATAGACTCTTTCTAACTTCTTTTACTTATTTACTTATATCTACTTCTATACTGATTGAATTACTGATGGGGATTTGTTATCTTGGTGATAATTATGAAAAAAAATTTTGGGGCTATTGCCAGATCTTTCTTCCTCCTCCCCTTTCTTAATCTACACATACGTGCAGGCTTGTATCCTCAAAATGGGCGCTCAGTTACGCATAGTTCTCATGTAGGAGCACGTGAAAATTTTTATGACAGGAAAGCGTTTTCGAGAATTGCCCATGGTAGGAGACTGGAACTTCACAAAGATGCTCCTTGACCGATATGGTTCCGCTATTTCAACTTCTTTTCAAGAAATGAAATGAAAAGATGGTCTCGTGAAAGCACTGGGTGCAGTAGCCGTAGGCCCCTCTTCGGTAGTAGCCAACGCTGATAAGCGTTCGCAGCTGGCCACCACTCAGCAAACTGCTTAATCAGCACTAAACTGATGGCAACTTCACAGGAGCAATTCAAACAAAAACTAAAGGATAAATATGAACCGCCCCCGTGCCGCAACCCTCAAGAGGGTTCCCGGTTCTAGCCTGAACCCCCTCCCCTCATGCTCCCCACGCTCTGCTCCCACACCGCGTCCTGAAGAGCTCGCAGTACTGAGAGTAGTGAGTGAGAATTTTTCATCCTCGCACTGCTGCCTCCCCATTCCGAGCATTCAAAAGTACATTGCACCAGTATAAAAAGGCTTTCCAAATCTCAACAAGTGAGGGAGCACTTACGGCTTGCCACCTTTTCCTCATTTCTACTGCTACAGTCTGCGAGGAAGCATGCAGGCGGTGGTGAAGTATTCGTTATTTAAATATTCACTTGAGGTCAGTTCTAAATTTAAATATGCTTTTCGATTTCAAACCTTTTTGCTTTCTTATGTCATTCCAGCTGTATTTCTATTTAGTACCATCCTGTTTTTTCTTTCCAGAAGAGTTGACTGAATGGGTGGCTTTTTTATGTGCTTTACATCGACAGTGCAATGAAAAATGCATTTTTCGCGAGGTTTTCTGAATGTGTACACCTTGCATACTGGCGCGCGATCAAAATTGTTTGCATCCTTCTAATTTATAAGTCGGATATTGTATAGGAAGCCGAATTTTTGCGTGGATGTTTCATATCCATGTGTTAGTCCACAAGTGCAAACTGAGCTTCCACTCATACCTAGGTATTTTGTGCAAACACGTCGAAAAATTTCATTCTGCAAAATTATCGGCATTCCCCTCTCACGGCAATCAGACATGTTAGAAAGCTGAAATTTCACGAAGTCCCACAATGCAACATCAGCGGTTCAACTAATGGCTCGTTTTTCGAACGTAGGAAAAAAGATTAAAAAAAAAAAACACTTCTAACAAGAAAGCATATATAAAAATGTGAAGCAATGAACGCTCTTATAGTTAACAGAATTGTTGCCGAACGAAATAATAAAATAACTATTCTCGCACCGGCCGTTTACTTAATCCGTTAAGCTAGATCTTTTGAAACGCGCATGAACTTTCTGCTTTTCTTTCGATCCTGCCGCCCTAAATCTCTGTTCAGTATAGTTGTTAGTGAGTAAACGGATGAGTAACACGTCGCAATCCGCCACTAATTTTCGAAACTGGGCACTTCTATTTCTCACAACATCCAGATTTTTCTCTCAGAAGTTTTTTATTAGTTAAAGGACGTGTTGCAGCTGAAGATGGGTGCTGGAGATGCACACATCTGCTTGCAGTTGCTTCCAAAAAACCAAATTCACCTGGATCACTTTGTTGTGCCAAAGCAGATCGCTGTTTTTAAAAATTCATTTCTTCGAAAAATCAGCTTTCGTCTCTTAGCAGTTGCTGGAAAACTTTCTGTTGTTACTTCATTCGCTTTATTAACTTGCAGAACAAATTATTCTTCCCGTAATTTCTGTTACATTCTTTCCATGTTTTTTGATTGATTTTGGTCATCTCTGATGTCCTGTTTTGATCCTACCTAACGGGTACCTTTTGAACAAGAAGTCAAAAATTATGACTCTTTCGGAAGGAATGTTTAACTGATACTGTTAATTGCAGCAATCAGCCACTCTTTTTTTTGCGCCCACAAAGAGCAACTTCAGTTTCATCATCCAGTAGTACCACGATCAGGATGATTAAGAACTTCTACGGAATTAAAAATTGTAAAAAAATCG